TTCTCGTTGTGTATATTGCGACCGCTGGTAACTACATGTTATATGAAATTCACAGTAACGTCTGGTATTTCAAGAAAAAGAAACTAATGAAAGTCACTCCACTCCACAAAGTACCATTATAATACTGGTTAGTTGCTACTACAACACTGTATTCTGCTATTCACTGGTATCACTAGATTATATGCGAGTACACTAGCAGGCCAGGAAGATTATTAAAAACAGCTGACCTGTGGTAAGTTTCTGGCACCTGCCTCTATAGGCTTATCACTTCATTTACAAATTCACCTGTTTTCAAATGACACTTTAGCCTTTATCATCAATATACTAGGGAGCCACTGTAGTATACACTATACACTATGTATACTCAATGCTTTCAGGGAGACTTTCTTTCCTCTGACACAAAGTTCAATTACTATTATTTTTTTCACACGGGACACAGGCCTATGATTCCCCTCTGGCAGTAAAACTCTGCTAGGTAGTGCACACTAATTCTCCTTTTTTGACTCAGTATATAATGTTTTCCACCCAAGATTGGTTCCAGGCGCTAGAGGGATGTATCGTATAGGATTGATGACACAAATTAAAGTTCTAGCACGTAAGAGCGACCGTGAAAACACCAGAAAACCGGGAGCACAACGAGGCACGCTGACACTGTCTGTTCCATTCCTTTCCAGTCCTTTCCTTTCCTGCACTTTGGATACCATGATTAATATCCAGATGAGATGGGAAGATTAAAAGAAAAACTGAGAAATGAATGAAAATCATATGGCATGCATCCAGAGGCACTGAACTGCATGGAAAGCTGCTTGTTTACATCCATTCACCCTCTGCTACACTGCTAAAACAATGGAGTTGCCCAATGCATAAAGATGAGTCGCCTGCCTGCTTGCCTGCCAAGGCACTCCCTAATGGAAATGCATACCACTAATGGAAATGACACTTCACTTGAAAATGAAAAACCTAAATTTAAATTGCATAATGTCAGAAATGCAAGTGATGATCATGTGACATAGTTGTCTGCTGTATAATAAATAATACAAACTAGTAGAAAAAATCTTCTAAATCTCAAATAATATGGACCATACAATAAGTGTCAGGGGCCCGAGACTGTTCAACTGCCTCCCAGCATACATAAGGGGGATTACCAACAGACCCCTGGCAGTCTTCAAGCTGGCACTGGACAAGCACCTGAAGTCGGTTCCTGACCAGCCGGGCTGTGGCTCGTATGTTGGTTTGCGTGCAGCCAGCAGTAACAGCCTGGTTGATCAGGCTCTGATCCACCAGGCGGCCTGGTCACAGACCGGGCCGTGGGGGCGTTGACCCCCGGAACTCTCTCTAGGTAAACTCCAGGTAAACCCTACCACCAAACTCATCCACCAACCAACCTCTGCAACTTCTCTTCAGAATCTCCCAAAAGCACTGTCATCAGCAGTGAGCAACTGTGACAAGTCCCACTCTGTGTTAGATTCTTTACCTATTAACTCCACATGTCTTGCAACACCTGAGCACTCACTTCTCTTACAACTCTATCTATAAATATATTGAACAACAATGGTGACATCACACATCCCTGTCTAAGGCCTACTCTTAGTGGGAAATAATCTCCCTCTCTCTCCTACATACTTTAACCTGAGCCTCACTATCCTCATAAAAACTCTTCACTACTTTCAATAACCTACCTCCTATTCCATACATTTGCAACATCTGCCACACTGTCCCCTTATCATACTCCTTTTCCAAATCCATAAATGCCACAAAAACCTCTTTACCCTTATCTAAATACTGTTCACCTATATGTTTCACTGTAAACATTTGGTCTACACACCCCCTACCCTTCCTAAAACCTCCTTGTTCATCTGCTATCCATCTTCCTCTTAATTCTTTCAATATTAACTACCATACACTTTACCAGGTATACTCAACAGACTTATTTCCCTATAATTTAGGTATATGTAATATGTTATTCAGCCCAAGACATGCATTACCATTCAATAACCTCTTATCCCCCTAATTACAAAGACTAAGATAATATATTAAAAGTTTATGGGATAGCTTATATACAAGTAGCCTCACACCTCCAACTTCCACAGTGGGCATCTACACCAGCCTGTGTATACTGTTCCTAGATATTTTTTTTTTTTTTTTTTTTTTTTTTTCAACAAGTCGGCCGTCTCCCACCGAGGCAGGGTGACCCAAAAAAGAAAGAAAATCCCCAAAAAGAAAATACTTTCATCATCATTCAACACTTTCACCACACTCGCACATTATCACTGTTTTTGCAGAGGTGCTCAGAATACAACAGTCTAGAAGCATACACATATAAAGATACACAACATATCCCTCCAAACTGCCAATATCCCAAACCCCTCCTTTAAAGTGCAGGCATTGTACTTCCCATTTCCAGGACTCAAGTCCGACTATGTGAAAATAACCGGTTTCCCTGAATCCCTTCACTAAATATTACCCTGCTCACACTCCAACAGATCGTCAGGTCCCAAGTACCATTCGTCTCCATTCACTCCTATCTAACACGCTCACGCACGCTTGCTGGAAGTCCAAGCCCCTTGCCCACAAAACCTCCTTTACCCCCTCTCTCCAACCCTTTCGAGGACGACCCCTACCCCACCTTCCTCCCCCTATAGATTTATAAGCTTTCCATGTCATTCTACTTTGATCCATTCTCTCTAAATGACCAAACCACCTCAACAACCCCTCTTCTGCCCTCTGACTAATACTTTTATTAACTCCACACCTTCTCCTAATTTCCACACTCCGAATTTTCTGCATAATATTTACACCACACATTGCCCTTAAACAGGACATCTCCACTGCCTCCAACCGTCTCCTCGCTGCTGCATTTACCACCCAAGCTTCACACCCATATAAGAGTGTTGGTACTACTATACTTTCATACATTCCCTTCTTTGCCTCCATAGGTAACGTTTTTTGACTCCACATATGCCCCAACGCACCATCACCTTTTTTCCCTCATCAATTCTATGATTAAAACCCCATCCTTCATAAATCCATCCGCCGACACGTCAACTCCCAAGTATCTGAAAACATTCACTTCTTCCATACTCCTCCTCCCAATTTGATATCCAATTTTCTTTATCTAATCATTTGACACCCTCATCACCTTACTCTTTTCTATGTTCACTTTCAACTTTTACCTTTACACACATTCCCAAACTCATCCACTAACCTTTGCAATTTTTCTTTAGAATCTCCCATAAGCACAGTATCATCAGCAAAAGTAACTGTCAATTCCCATTTTGAATTTGATTCCCCAAAATTTAATCCACCCCCCTCCCGAACACCCTAGCATTTACTTCCTTTACAACCCCATCTATAAATATATTAAAAACCCTGGTGACATTACCAAAATCCCTGTCTAAGACTACTTTTACCGGGAAGTAGTCTCCCTCTCTTTACACACCCTAACCTGAGCCTCACTATCCTCATAAAAACTCTTTACAGCATTTAATAACTTACCACCTATTCCATATACTTGCAACATCTGCCACATTGCTCCTCTATCCACTCTATCATATGCCTTTTCTAAATCCATAATGCAATAAAAACTTCCCTATCTTTATCTAAATACTGTTCACATATATGCTTCAATGTAAACACCTGATCTACACATCCCCTACCCACTCTGAAACCTCCTTGCTCATCCGCAATCCTACATTCTGTCTTACCTCTAATTCTTTCAATTATAACCCTACCGTACACTTTTCCTGGTATACTCAGTAAGCTTATTCCTCTATAATTTTTTCAGTCTCTTTTGTCCCCTTTCCCTTTATATAAAGGGACTATACATGCTCTCCGCCAATCCCTAGGTACCTTCCTCTCTTTCATACATTTATTAAACAAAAGTACCAACCACTCCAACACTATATCCCCCCCCTGCTTTTAACATTTCTGTCATGATCCCATCAGTTCCAGCTGCTTTACCCCCTTTCATTTTACGTAATGCCTCACGTACCTCCCCCACACTTACATTCTGCTCTTCTTCACTCCTAAAAGATGGTATACCTCCCTGACCAGTGCATGAAATTACTGCCTCTGTTTCTTCCTTAACATTTAAAAGTTCCTCAAAATATTCTCGCCATCTACCCAACACCTCCATCTCCCCATCTACTAACTCCCCTACTCTGTTTTTAACTGACAAATCCATATTTTCCCTAGGCTTTCTTAACTTGTTTAGCTCACTCCAAAATTTTTTCTTATTTTCATTAAAATTTCTTGACAGTGCCTCTCCCACTCTATCATCTGCTCTCCTTTTGCACTCTCTCACCACTCTCTTTACCTTTCTTTTACTCTCCATATACTCTGCTCTTCTTATAACACTTCTGCTTTGTAAAAACCTCTCATAAGCTACCTGTTTCTCTTTTATCACACCCTTTACTTCATCATTCCACCAATCACTCCGAGATATATGTAGGAAAAACAGGCAGAGATCTTTCAGTCCGCCTGAACGAGCATCAAAATGCCAGTAACAGACTACTTAAAGCACGCCTGTGTCCTCTATGGGGTATCTGATGAGTTGGGATGAGGCACAACTCGTTCTCACTGAAAAAGACCTTAGATGCCGACGATGTCTGGAAGCCTCGCTAATCGCCGTCACTGACACCAGAGAGCGTAACACTGGAAACTATGACATTTCTAAAACATTAGCATAGATGATATTCAACCAAGCAAAGCACCACCTACCAAACAACATAGGTGTCACTCGACACCACTGTTTACCCATCCTCATCCCAGTGTGACATTCTTCAGGCTACAATGCATCACTCACACCTCACTCTCTGCCTATGTATACTTTTTTAACCTCTGTATGTTAGAGGTGATCAAGGTCCCAGGATTGAAACATTTTCTAATAAATACGTATGTCCTAGTGTTTGCTGAAGTGTTTTTCTAAACCAACTTGTTGGTACGTATTTATTACCAAGATTGATACCACGAGTTTCTAGTAAAACAAAATAAAGACTCACAGGGTCCAGCATAAATCCATTAACTCCATCTCCAGTAGATATAACCATCATAGTGGCTGACCCATACAGAGCATAACCTGCTGCCACCAAGGTGTTTCCTGGCTGAAGTGCATCATTTACTGTGGGATCACCATCTGAAGACTTCCTGAAAATGAAAGCAGTATTGCAATTATGAGAAAACTATTTTCACAGATTATATCATTCTGTTATTTTCTGTAAGAGTGCAAGAGAAAGAAAGTGTCATGTGTTTTCCTTGCTAATATTAATACTGCTGCTGTGTTACAGATCATAATCATTCCACAAGCTGATTGTTTGACAACCACCTCCAATTTGTTTAAGCAGGCCTTATATACATTTAACTAATATGAATTGTAGTGCTGGTTTTTGTCTGGTGATGCTTGTCTTTAGCAATACTTTATTAAATGCTCTAATCTTCAAGACCTTTGACTACCTGACTTTGGTTATTTTGTCATCTCTCCTGACTTGTGGCCTTGGCTATAAGTAAGTTTATTCAGGTGTAGGTACACAAATACAGTTACATAAATTATCATACATAGCAGCATATGTGGGAGCAAGGGGCTAGTAACCCCTTCTGTATAAAGTACTAAATTTACAAAGAGAAACTTTTATTTTTATTTTTGGGCCACCCTGCCTTGGTGGGATATGGCCAGTTTGTTGAAAGATGAAGAAAGCAGCATATGTGTAGATTATCTAGGATAACCCCAAAAAGGTCTGACAAGGTAACTTACTGCCATTACTCGCCTCTCTTAACTTACAGCCTCAGCCATCTTCCCACATTACCTGAATTACAGATTTAGCTGCCATCTCGCTGCTGACTTGACCTTGGTTGTCTACTCTCCTGACCTGAACCTGGTCATCTCCTCACCTCTCCTGGCCTGATCTGACTTCCATTTCCCCATCCCCTCATCTTTCACATAGGACTTAATAGTGATACCTGGTCTGACAGATGTAATGTCTAAATATTTATGTCCAGTTGGGTTAGATGCAAATGTGACAGACCTGCCAGTCTGATGGATATGTGGGCCACCAGCAAAGGCCTGGTTTATCATGCAAGTCCCAAAGAAGCATGGGCCAAGCCAGGGCTATGGTAGTAAGAAAACTCTTCAACCCCTTCAAAGGTACAGTACACACATATATCAAATAGTATATGATTTTAAATGTTTTAACTAATGAAATTTACTTCCTATTGCAAGCACAAGGCAACTGTTTAACTTTCATTTATACCAGATCAGCATGAAGAATGAAAAGTTTAACTACAAAATTAAAGAAAAGTTATGACTGACCTGTATATGGAGAATATTGAACCAATGGACACCAAACAATCTATGTTGGATGAACCGTCAAGAGGATCAAAGCAGACAATGTACTTTCCCTGGCGTTCTTTCTCGACCTGTGAAAAAAAAAATGGTTGAAGGATTTAAATTCAATAATGTTTAAAAATTTTATAGCCAGGTAATTATTGAAGTATATTTTGTTTCAATAAATAACTTAAAATTTGCCTCAATTTATATCCGTATTACATATTCATAGAAAAAGGCTTAATGTAATTTAATTACCAGTCAAGTACCAATTTACTGCAGATATCTGTTACCCTTCAACTATTAAGCATTCCTGAACCCATAACAATTGTGTACAATGAATAAGGTGACTAGCCTTTGGAATTTCAACCAGTAGATCTTTTGGATACTTGTTATGTGGCTCTTGGCTGCAATACTGATGTAGCCGGAGCAACTAGCTTTAAAGCTATTCCTTTCATAGATTTTATCAGAAAAATCAGAAGAAAGTTTGGATTGATCATGAGCTACGTAGGTGCATATTTACCAATTTTCTAACATGGTACTGTATTGCTGGATTCCGAGCTATAACTAGAATGCCTGTCAAGGTCGACTTCCAACTTTCAATATATGTACATGTACTATTAGAGTTTCTTAGAGAAAGCTTATTTTTACTGGCCTTTGCAGCCTCCAACTTGCTCATTTTAATACATTTTTGAAGTATCATATGTACAATTCTGGACTAAGGAGTTTGGGCATAAAATTGAAAAATTAAACTAATATTTGATGCACTAAAATCTTAAACTATGAATACAGTGCAACCCCAGTTATTGGCCGAAATCCATTCCAGAAGGTTGGCCTAAATCTGAAATGGCCTAAAACTGAATCAATATTTCCCACAAGAAATAATGTACGTAAATGCAATTAATCCATTCCAGACACCCAAAAATATTAAAAAATACATTTTTTAAAGATTAACCAGTGGCATCACAAGGAGAGGGGGGCTACCCAAGGTGACACCAAAGAGCATCTAAAGAAGATGACACAAATGCCCAAAAGTGTTGCACCAACATTAGAGAAGAATCCTTCATTTCTATATAGCCTATTATATGATTACAGAGTACAAATATGCCTATATAGGGAAAATCATTGGTTTTGATGAAGTGATAGATGATTTTGCAGAACTGAAGGCAAGGAAATGTAAGATCAAATTTACTGAGATATTACCTGTACTCAAGGTCAAATCAGAACTAGTGTTTCTCTGATATTGCAACGTTTTTCTTTATTTTTCAAGTTTTTTTTTTTTTTTTGCATTGTTGAAGATGAATAAATGTAGTATCTGCACTTGTACTCAAAGTGGTATTTGAGTTTGTTTCCTCAATATTACTATGATTATTTATTTTATCATTAATAAAGTTGAGAAGTATTCTCCTGTTCAGCTTATGGGCCTTAAACGTTCTCACTGCTAAACATTATTCACTGGTCATGCAATAGTGATGTAACTGGAGTTTACTTCCCACCATCCCCCCGCCCCAGGTGACACCAACCCTAGTGACATAACGGAGATTAACTATAGTTTTACATACACAAAACAATGAGAAAGAAATACAGCATTAATTTTGATAATAAATGAACATTACATACCTTTACTGAAGACTTGTTGGCATATGGAAGAAGGCGAGGAAGAGAGAGGAAGGACTGATCAGTGTTTGGAAGGGGAATTCCCCTCCGTATGAAACTAGTAATCTAGTGCGGTTAGCCTCACAACTCCATTTTCTCTTATCCCAAGACCTCAGGGCAAAAATGGGAAGACATGTTCAGAGTGATAGTGATTTTATGTTGCTACTGGTGTGTGTGTGTGTGTGTGTGTGTGTGTGTGTGTGTGTGCACGCGCTCATGTGTATGCATATATTTGTACGTGCGTGCGCCCTCGTGTGGGTGTATGATCCACTTAATATTTGTATTTACAACTCATTACAATTGTGACCAGGTGTGAATGTATCAGTGGCTCATTACTTTGTAATTTGTTCATGACTGTAACCATGTATAGGAGTGAGGCTGATTCATTACCTTTGTAACTTGCCATGATTGTGACCAGATCTACCTGGGGTTCATTACCTTTGTAACTAGTTCAGCTATCATAACTTTGGGGTCCAGTCCCTGGACCCATTATGTACCTTTGTAATCTTTTGACTACCACCCACAGGATGGGTATGGGGTGCATAATAAAGATATTAAACTAACTAACTACTGGCCATAAGCACTCGTCATATAATGACATTTTATTCATTCTAGAGTATATGTTTCTATAAGTTTATTTAGGTTTGTCCACATACAGTTACAAAGATCATCATACATAGCAGTTTCATAGTTACAAAGATTATCATACATAGCAGCATATGTGTAGAAAACCTAGGATAACCCAAAAGTCAGACAGAGTGAGTTATTTCCATTGTACAGTGGACCCCCGCATAACGATGGCATCACATAGCGATTATTTCGCATACCGCTTACTTTAATTGCAAAAATTTTGCCTCGCATACCGCTTAAAAACCCGCTTACCGATTTTCGTCCGAGACGCTTCCAATGTGCGGCCTGAGCCACGCTCACATGTTCCGCCGGTGGCATTGTTTACCAGCCAGCCTCCGCAATAACATCCAAGCATACAATCGGAATATTTCGTATTATTACAGTGTTTTCGGTGCTGTTTCTGGAAAATAAGTGACCATGGGCCCCAAGAAAGCTTCTAGTGCCAACCCTGTGGTAAAAAGGGTGAGAATTAGTATGGAAATTAAGAAAGATTTTGAAGGGTTTGGGGCTAACCCTGAGAAGCCTATGCCAGTTGTGGAATCCATTGTGCCTACTTCAAAAATTAAGGAAATGTGTGCACAGTGGGTTGAACTGCAAACCTTTATGGATGAAAATCACCCTGACACAGCTGTTGCAAGCCGTGCTGGTGACTATTTCAATGACAATGTTGTGGCCCATTTTAGACAAATCGTAAAGGAACGGGAGGTACAGAGCTCTATGGACAGATTTGTTGTGCGACAGAGGTCCAGTGACTCTCAAGCTGGTCCTAGTGGCATTAAAAGAAGAAGGGAAGTAACCCCGGAAAAGGACTTGCTACCTCAAGTCCTAATGGAAGGGGATTCCCCTTCTAAACAGTAAGAAGATAATGCTCTCCCCTCCTCCCATCCCATCAATCATCACCAGATCTTCAATAAAAGTAAGTGTCATGTAAGTGTGCATGCCTTTTTCAGTTTGTGTGTATTAAAATTAACATTTCATGTGGTAAAAAAAATTTTTTTTCATACTTTTGGGTGTCTTGCACGGATTAATTTTATTTCCATTATTTCTTATGGGGAAAATTCATTCACATAACGATTATTTCGCATAACGATTACCCCTCTTGCACGGATTAAAATCGTTAACCGGGGGTCCACTGTATTTCTATGTTGTTTATATTATTACGAGCTCTTTCTTGAATTCGATCGTGTTTCTCATCTTCTTTACCAAAGGGTTGGCACTGAACTTTCTTTGGCCCCATGATGGCTTATTTCACAGTTGAAATCAACAAAAAAACACCAGAAACAATGGATGAAGCCACGAAGTATTCCTAATCCAACGAGAGAGACACGCAGACTGAGTGTGACATGCGTGAGAAAGAGCTTTGCCGGTCGGTGGTGACACGTCTCACGTGGCCTATTTCAGAGAGCATGGCCGACATCTGAGCAAATTTCGCCGATAAAAGTGCTCGATTTCCAAACTGGCCAATTTCTGCGACGGCCTATAACCAGGGTTCCACTATTTTCAAGCAATTTTCTTAAGCCTTTTAAAAAATAATTTTGTCCAATGCAACTGTGTGTCATGTTCATAGAGGAATAACTTGTGAGAGTTTCCTAAATGGGGTATATGATATAAACAGCAGAACAACCTGCTTAAAAACCAGTCTCGGAGACAGTGAATGTTACAAAACTTCGGGAATCAGTCGCCAAGTATTTATGAGTAATCGTCTTATTACAGTGGCTGGATTCAGCTCATATCTCTCTCTCCCCCCCATATTAATACATAGCAATGAAACCACGAAACAAGTGTTTTCGAGTCATTTACCAAACTGTGGCAGGCCAGGATTCAACCCCACGACACAATGTGTCGATTCAAGAGGCCACACAATGTACATGTTACCTTACCATCCGAGCCATTGATCCTAGAAACATCTGCTTGTGGTGGCAGGTATTCAAACAGGAGGAGGTTAAATTAATCCTTGAGTATACATCTGCCACGAGTGTCCTCGCAACATGAAACAAGCCTAGTTCACTAGGTTCATGTTTGAAGGACTGACGGCTCAGATGGTAAGGTGACATGTATGTTGTGTGGCCTCTTGAGGTGGAACAATGTGTTGTGGGGTCGAATCCTGGCCTGCCACAGTTTAGCAAATTTTAATATATATGTATACTTAAGCATGCATATGCACAATCATGAATACGGAGCTAGGAGAGGTGCAGCAGCGGCCAGCAGAGTCGGGCCAGGAGCTAAGATTCTACCCTAGCAAAAACATATAGGCAAGTATGAATACATATACGTACTCACACTTACACATACTTAAACATAATGTGTGTGTGTATTTATATTCTTTCAACACACCGGCCGTATCCCACCAAGGCGGGGTGGCCCAAAAGGAAAAACGCAAGTTTTTCCTTTTACATTTAGCAATATATACAGGAGAAGAGGTTACTAGCCCCTTGCTCCCAGCATTTTAGTCGCCTCTTACAGCACGCATGGCTTACGGAGGAAGAATTCTGTTCCATTTCCCCATGGAGATAAGAGGAAATACACAAGAACAAGAACTAGAAGGAAAATAGCGAAAACCCAGAGGGGTGTGTGTATATATATATGCTTGTACATGTATGTGTAGTGTGACCTAAGTGTAATTAAAAGTAGCAAGACATACCTGAAACCTTGCATGTTTATGAGACAGAAAAAAGGACACCAGCAATCCTACCATCATGTAAAACAATTACAGGCTTTCGTTTTACACTCACTTGGCAAAACGGTAGTACCTCCCTGGGTGGATGCTGTCTACCAACCTACTACCTAGAATATATAAATATATATA